ACTTATAAATACCTTTTATGGGTTTGGTGTCTGTCTGTGTTTTTGGATGGGGGTGGGGGTGGGGATGGTCTTCTGGTAATGGTTGACAGAAAGCATATCTGTGTGAGCATCAGTGCCTCTTCTGTGTGCTCGCTGATCCCTAACCAAGTGAACTTGAGGTCTCCAGTTTTATGGGTTAAATGGAGTCAGCTCCTGAAGAAACACATCTTCTCCTGTTTCTCTGCTGCACATCTCTGTGTCATCTCTCTTACATGTCCTGCCAAAGAGCTTCTACAGGCTAAAACAAGGAACAACTTGTAGAAAGAGAGGAAGAAAGATGGCATGGTACATATTATCTGGATCCTAATGATGTTGCTGACCAAACAGGCTCGGGTGATGTGAAAGATTTATAAGACAGTGAAGTCCTTCTGCGTGCAAGTCTTTAGTGTCAACAAGATGGATGGTTTCATTATGCTTCATTGTGTCCATGTGTGGGTTTACAGTGTAGTGTGTAAGAGTTGGATGGTTTGTAAAATGTCCAGAGAAGCTTCTCCAGTTTGATGTTACTGGTGTGTAAAGTTAACTGGATTAAAAACAAACTGCAGGTTGGATTTGTGACACTTTGACAAATTTTCCCAAATCTTTGTTGGACTGTTTGTTGATGAGTAATGCAGCCTCGACAGGAGCCAGATCGTACTAATTTAAACCTTTGAGAGGAAAGGCATGCACACCAAATGATTATATATTGCAAATGGCACTATTGATTTTGTACCTGGAAATGAAAGGGTCTGTTTCAGTGAAGCTCCACCCACACCTGTTCTAATAAAACACCCTATAACAGCACCAAGTCTAATGCATCTGCCTTTCATTTTGATTTGCCATTTGCTGATGCCAGTTTGACTCCCATTTTCAGCATTTTTTTATTTAGCCAGCTGAAGCAGATTTCATTTCTTATATTTTGGTTTTATTATTTCCTGCAAAATATTTTGTGACTCTGAAGATCTTTGAATTTGGTTATTTCCCAGCAGCACATAGATGCACACTAGCTAAAAAAAAAAAGATTGATCCTTATATTTTAAAGTGACAATGTGTAGTTTTTACCTCTAATCTCTGGAAACATCCATCAATATGTTGTTGAAAATGAATTAAAGTATAACCAGTTGTTGAAATATATTGGCGGCTTTGTAACATATAACCATAAAAACCAGGTCTAAAATACATGGGACAGGTTCAAGTCCCTTTGAGTAAAGTCTTACCCCGGGTTTCCACGGGAGCCGTCAGCAGCACGTTACTGCAGCAGCACGTCTTGCTCGCGTAAGCTGCTGCTTGGCCCTTCCCACGAGACGCGAATCAGCAGGGGAGCAGCTGTCACCGACAGAGCACGAAGTCACACGAGTGACTTCATCAGTAAACACAACAACAAGCAGGAGAAAACTACAACATGGCTCCAAAATGTTTGTGTTTTTATGTTCTGTCCGTTTTATAATCGCCAATACGGACCTGAAAAACAAAGGAGACCGCTAGCCAGGTGATAACTTCTCACGGGGCCGCACAGTTAGTAACCTTTTTTAAAGTAAAGCGACCGGAAGGCAGTACGTTCTTTATTCTGAAAATCTCGGGAGCTTCTCTCCATTTCCGCGTCCGATTTCCTGTCTTTCCTTCCCCAAAAATGTCGAACTTGACCCGTTTCAGAGGCGTTGCGCGTAGGAAATAGAACCGGCGCGTAAAGGCCGCGACATGCTGCTCCTGAGACGCGGCCGACTCGCGCTGCTGACGGCTGCCGACGGCTCCAGTGGAAAAGGTTCTGTTGACCACAGCGGTTCCTATCAGCAGCTATGACGTGCTGCTGCAGTAACGTGCTGCTGACGGCTGCTGTGGAAAGCCGGGGTTACTCAAACACAAAAATGCTGCTTGCTTGCAATAATTTAGGTATGCACTGCCCCTTATCGCCATGGAAAATACACACAGTCACTTTAATCAGTTTACCAATAAAGGGTTGAAAACATAATGCTGACAAGTGAAGCTAAAAAAGAAGAAAAACGTTACTGCCAAGACCAGGAGTTAAACTGGTGCAAAACAACATGTTAGTCAGTTACTCTAACCACTGGACTACCAAGTCAATTACAGAGTATTAGTCACCTAACAGGACTTCCATATAAGTACCATTTCCACTCTGCCTAGATACAGTATGAAGAGTGCACATCCACATACTGTAGCTTGGATGTTTTCTACAGGCAACCGGCTGTTTTTTCAGCTCTTGCTGAAACTCCCAACCAACTCCCGACTGGCTAGTCGGCTCAAATTCATGCCTACCCTTTAGGGGAGCCTCTGATTGGTGGACAGAATCACCCAGAATCAACCCTCTCTCTGAGGGTTAGGGTTACACACACACACACAGCATTGAGGCCAGGCTTAAGCTGCACCAGAACAGACACAGCAGTCTGGATGCAAAATCAGAGTCAGAGTTTCCAAAGGCAACACTGCTCACTGCCACTTTTGTTTAGTTTAAGGGAGACACTGCTGACTTCTCTGCTCATCTTTTACCCTGCCCACGTGCTCGGACATTACATGTTCCTGAGAAGTGAGTGAGAACAAACCTTACCAGTGTGGAACCCAGAACAATGCAAACCAGACCGGACCGAGTCAAATGTGGAAGCAGCACAAGACAAATGTCCTGTGCTGGCCATTATTTGCATCTATATGAACAGGACACATGGTATTTGTCAGAATATCCGGTCTGGTACCGGTGGAGGTTTGAAGCAGTCATTTGTGACATGAAGGTTACATATTCAACTGGAGCATGAAATCAACTTCTCTATGCCCGCAACTCGGAGAAAGTGGGCGTTAGTGACCTACTTCCAGGGGAGGCAGGTTCCAGGTCTAAGTCTAGCTTCATGGGGAGAAGAAAGGCCTGATGACACACTTGGGCTACTTTCTCCTGGATGCAGGCCTGAAATTAAATTGGGAAAAATTGAAGCTGAGGCAAGAAACTGTGAATGCAGCCAAAAACGGGTTTGGGGGTATTTCTAATGAGGAAATGACAATATCACATGGTAAAAAGCTCCAAAAGTCACCTTTTCATGTTTTGGAACCTTTAATAAAAGTGAGAAAACCAAGGTTTAGACCAGAAGTAGGGAAATTAGCATAACACATTTAATCCTCATCTATGGGGTTGATGAAAAAGAAAGAAAGATTCTATTCAATGCAAATTCAGTGATTGATTTCTGAGAGTTCAATTAAATTATTCAGTGTTTATTGAGATATTTAGCTATCAGACAAATATTGACTTGAATTGAAATTATTGTCATTATGCAAAAGAAAGCATGACGAGATTACTTGGGCCTCATCTGACACAGTGCCACAAACAACATATGTAAAAGCCACATAATCAAAAACAACTTTACTAAAAAGAACACTAAAATGATCAACAAAATATAAAAAATATAATTAGCTACAAGAAAATAACATCAACTGTAAATATACCTAAAAACATTGGCAGTCGGGGTGGGGGTGGGGTGGGGGATGTAACGAACTCCTTCTCTTAGAAGAAAATAGTGAAGGAGTCCCACCCTGTGATCACATCGAACCATTTGAAATTCTCACTGCCCACAGGTAAAAGCTGTCCTTCAGTCTATTGGGTTCTGCACCTCAGGGACCTGAAACATCTCCCTGACGGAAGCAGTTGTAAAAGGCGATGTCCTGGATGAGAAGAGTCTTCTCTGATCCGTTGAGCTCTACTCAGACCTCTGGAGCTGGTGATGCTCTCCAGGGAGAGCAGTGGGCATCCGATTATTTTTTCAGACATTCTGATAACCCTCTGCAAGGCCTTCTTGTCTGCAGCTGAGCACGCCGCAAGCCGCACGGTAATGGAGTACCCCAGCACTGATTCAATGGCAGCCCCATAAAAAGACACCAACAGCCTCTCTTCAAGATGGTTCCTCCTCAGCACTCATAGGAAATAGAGCCTCTGCCGAGCTTTCTTGACTGTTGCTGAAGTATTTGTTGTCCACTTCAGGTCCTCTCGAAGATGTGTCCCTAGGAACTTGAATGTGGCTACCCGCTCCACCTCTGCCCCCTTAATTGTCAGAGGAGCATGATCCCACATTCCTCTCCTGAAATCCACAATCATTTCTTTAGTCTTTATTGTATTTAGCAGCAGGTTATTCAGAGTGCACCATCTCTCAAGTACCTGTATTTCTTCTCTGTAAGCTGTCTCCTCCCCCCCTTAATCAACCCCACCACCGTGGTATCGTCGGCAAATTTGATGATGGAATTATAGGGGTGTATGGGCTGGCAGTCTAGGCGTACAAGGTGTACAAAAGGGGACTCAGCACACAGCCCTGTGGAGAGCCTGTACTGAGTGTCAGGGTAGGTGAACAACACTGACCAATTTTGACTTTGATTTGTGAGAAAGTCCTTAATCCAATCGCACAAGAGGGGGTCGAAATTCAGCTCTAACATTTTATTCTTTAGAATTTCTGGGAGAATCATGTTGAATGCTGTGCTAAAATCCACGAAAAGCTATCTAGCATAGGTGTCTGGACGTTCTAGATGGCTGTGAACTGCATGAAGGACTGTGGTGATAGCATCATCGGTGCAGCGGTTCTTTCTGTAGGCAAACTGGTATGGATCAAAGTTCACTGGAAGACATGACTTGAGATGTTGAGGAGCAGGCCTCTCAAAGCACTTCATAACAACAGATGTCAGTGCCACAGGTCTCAAATTATTGATGCCCTTTGCAGAAGATTTTTTTGGAACTGGAACAATTGTAGCTCCCTTGAAGCAGGATGGAATCACTGCCTGAGCCAGTGAGGAGTTAAATAACCCAGTTAGGACACCCACCAGTTCATTGGCACACCCCTGTAGAACCTTACTCGACATCCCATCTGGACCGGCTGCCTTCTTTGGGTAAACCGCCGAGCAGGGCTGTGCAGAGACCTTTGAAGGGGCGGGTGCTCAAATTTAAAAAGGGGCACACAGAATAATATTTTCAAACACCATGACATAACCACAGTATACTCAGCTGAATAACAAATCATATTTATTAGAAATTCAAAATGGAAGCGAATCATTATATACACCATAAGGACAATGTAAAGCAAAAGTAACTTGTTTAGGTAAATGGTCTGTATTTGTATAATGCCTTCTTAGGGTTCTACAGCCCCCCAAGGCACATTACAACACAATCAGTCATTCACACACACACATTAACACACTGATGGTGATGAGCTATGATGTAGCCATAGCTGCTCTGGAGCGCACTGACAGAGGTGAAGCTGCTGAGCACAGGCGCCACCGGTCCCTCCGACCCCCACCAGCAGGCAAAGCAGGTTAAGTGTCTTGCCCAAGGACTCAACAGCATCAATCTCTGATTGAAGTCAGGCTCAAACCTGCAACCTTCTTATTACTGGACAACCTGCTCCACCTCCTGATCTATTGCTGTCCTATTTTACCTGATGATGGGGTACAGTGTAGCTGTTGCAGGGTTGCTCCTCTTGCTGCTGCTGATGATGCTGGAGGGCAAGGCTGTGTTGATCTCAGACTGTAGGTAGTAAAACGAACAGAGGAGAAATGTTAGTCAATTACAAAATTTATGTAAGATCATAAAAAAATGGCAAAAATTGGTGAAAACTCTTAGAAGTGTAAGACAGAAATATCTGAGACAACACCTGTGGTAAATAAATGGAAATCTAAATATTAGTGGATAATAGAGGAGTTTATGTCAGAGATAAGAATGTGACAGAAATATAAACAGAAAGAGTTGTGTGTGTCTTCAGTCTCCTCGTGTGATCTATCACTCTCCACTTGCTGTCCATCTGAGAACAAGGCAAAATTAGCTATTGTATGAATGAATTATGTAGTTATTCACATTTAACAGGTCTTGCACCTAATCCATGATCAAGAGGCTAACAAAAAACATTTTCTGGCATCAAAACATTGCAGTTGTGTATATTATTGTTTCTACACTTGTTGCTGTGATGCAACTTACCTGTACTCTTTTTTTTTATCCAGCTGGTGAGGGACCCACTGCCTTTAGCTGCCTCATGTAGCTCTTTCTGTCGCTGCTTCCTCCTCCTGTCCTTACGAAGCATGTCTGTACAATGATATATCATAATTGATTTACAAATATTTTTTCATGCTTATAAAACTCATGCATACACATTCTGGGACATTTCATTCCTTTTCCAGAAAACTAACTGTATATAATTTGGCCACAAATTTGCTTCATGATGCTGATCCAGAATATGTCCATACTATTTTAATCGTAGTGCTTTAGTAATTATAATAAAAATAAAGAATAAAACAATGTTTATGCTTTCATTCAGTTTTACTATCTACTTTGTGCAAAACAGAGAACTGTACAGATAAAATAATTTTGCAGTGAAAACAGTTTTTTTTGAATGTACATCTTTAAAACATAATGTTTTTAATACAATGCATTCAAAAAGAGAGCAAATATAAACTCCAACATTTTGAGAATATGCATAGTATTAGTGAACTAAAAAACCCACCAGAAGGGCTGAGAAACCTTAACATCTAAAACAAAACTATGTTCCCTAAAACGCTGGACAGAATTAACAAACAAGGACTGAATATTTAGTAACACAAAACTTGTGACGGATGTTACCTTTAGTATTTTTCTTATTTCCTTTCACAAAAGGTAGCTAAATTTTAAATTTGTTCAAGTTTTATTAGTCCGCGAACCAGGAAGTGATTTTGTAAACAAGAAGCAGGGCTGTGTGAGACCCTAGTCACGTGACACGCAGCAGCGATAGGAATGCAACTTTGCGGTACCTAGTTAACAACAATGACATTTTATTGGCAAATTCCCAATACTTAAGATTGAAAAAATATTTTCGTACAAGTACTTATGTACAGAATGTTTTTGGTTAATCCTAAAGTTACTGAGGTTCAGAATCGGTACCCAGCCACAGACACACACCCAGCTAGTAATATATCACACACCTAGTGCCACAAAACAACTTAATAATGTACAAAATAATCTAATAACCGTGTATAGTAGTGCGCATCCTACTTACCGGTGTTAGTCCGTTTCTCCCAATCAATATGTATGTCCTAAAAGCTTTGCACCACTCGCTCGGCCATGAAGAAAATGTGGGTGCTTGCTTGCAGCTTGTTGTGACCGGCTGTGCGCTCTGGCGTGAGGAAGAGACGGAATGGTCACGTGACGTATGGTCTGACTCACGCCAGCCATATAACATTAAACAGAAATTTTATTAATGATTATCTTTGTTATTCTTGAGGGGGCACAAACAGAAAATTCTTTAAAAAAAATAAAAATAAATATATATAAAAAAATCATTAAACCTCAAAAAGGGCACTTTGGGCACATGGGAGAAAAGGGGCAGGGTCTCAAGCACCCTCCGCCCCCCCCTCTGCACGTGCCTGCCCCCGAGAGTGCACGCCTCACCAGATGTTGCTGGAAGGACAGGGTGACAGATGTGCTGTGGCATTTGCCAGGTGATGACGGCACCCCTGCTGTAGGAGTATCAAAACGGGCAAAGAAACGGTTAAGCTCATCTGCTAGTGAGATATCTTCATGAGAGGAATCAGATAATGGGGTGCCTCTAAAGTTGGTCAGAAGTTAAATTCCTTGCCACAGCTGCCTGGCATCTGTCTGCTCAAGATGGTCTCCTATTCTATCTGAGAACTTCGTTTTAGCAGTCAAGATGCCCTGTCTAAGTTCACCTCGAGCCGGACTGTACAGCTCTCTCTCACCGGACTTAAACGCCAAGTTTCTAGCCCTCAGAAATGAATCTACAGCAGGGGTCATCCATGGTTTCCTTCAACAGTTAAAGGTACAGTAGAACCTGAAAAATGGCTGACCACAGTTTTTTTTTCATTGAAAAACTCCCTAGTTACGTCCAGACGGAGCGTTTCTCTGTTATACCAAGAACCTGGGAAAGTTTGTTTTTTTGTGAAGGGAGTGGGTGTTTACCTTTTATGTGTGTGTGCTATGTTACTCTTGAATAAAACCTTTTTGAGAGCTTCTGCTCGAAGAGAGACCAAACAGATATCCCATTGGTGTGTATCTTCATTTCTCTCTGATTTAGCAAATTCTGGTTGTTGATTATTGGTGTTTTTTGGTAAATGGTATTGATAACCTAAAACCTAATATCTCTAACCCCCTTGTGTGTGTTGGACTTTCTTTGAGGTACGCCTGGATTGATTAAATAAAAATACCCAACATTTTGGTGCCGTGCCCGCCGTGCGAGCCGGAAGCTGGGAGATCGTCTCCGGGGGGCCGAAAGGCGCGCCGCTCTCTTTAAAGCCCTGGGGGCTTGGATTGCCCTGCAGTCGACCTTCCGCCTACGGCTCCGCGCGCCGGACTTCGGGTTGAGTCCACCGCGCAGGGGGGAGTAACTGGAGTGTGTGAGTACCTCTTTTTTGCAGCCTTGCATATATAAAGCTGGTTGACTTGACAGTGTGTTTTGCGTGTGTGTCTGTCTTCCGGACGCGGAAGACGTTCCGTGTTTCAGCAAAAGGTTTTGGACTGTCCCGGTGAAATAGAGTTGAAAAAGAAGGTGACGTAGCCGCTGAGTCGCGCCTAGACCCGGCTGTTGGTACCCGACCTGTATTACTTGAAAAGCGGTTAAATATATTATACAGGAGGTTCCAGCGCTACTGGGGAAGGCTGAAAGACGATCGGAATTGCAGACTTTTGGAACTTACGGAAATATATGATATAATAGTGCCACGTTAAAGCTGCAGCTAAATAGAAACAGTGCAGGCTGACGCTGTGGCCGTGCACTGGCGTTTCAGTCTTTTGTAATCACACTGTCGCTGGATTGTTTAACGGTTTCCCATTGCTGCTGAGGTACAAAGATTTGGACACCGCTGCTTTTGGCTTAAAACCTCAAGTCAAACTAAAAATCACTCATATTTGTGTGCTTCTCATTGATTTGGTGTTGTTATAGTTGTTTTTGTCCGCGGCTGGCTGATCGTTGTTGTCTGTGTGGCTTTGTGGGTTTTAATTGTGCTGGAGCTCGGTGCTGAAGAGCTTCAGCTGTACTTTGATCCATCTGGGTATGTGAAAACTGGCCAGTTCTGCCTGGTTCGGTTTCGTGTGTGTGTGTGTGTGTGTGTGTGTGTGTGTGTGTGTGTGTGTGTGTGTGTGTGTGTGTGTGTGTGTGTGAGTGTGTGTGTGTGAGTGTGTGTATGGAGGTGTGCGTGTATTGGGGACTTTGAGATTGCTACGTGTGACAGGCTCGGCTGCCGTTTCGCTGTGTGACAGGTTCGGCTGCCGTCTCGTTGTGTGCGTGTGTGAGAAAGAAGGAGGGAAGCGGTAATTCGTCTTAAATACGATGGGGAATGCTAAAACTAAAGACAGTCTGGAGGGAGACATGAAATACATGCAGCATACCCACCCGGGGAGTTTAAAATATCTGGAAAATTGGCGAAAAAAGTACCAAGTCGACGGGGAACTAAAAGGTCAACAAGGGCACGAGTTAGTCAGTACTTTCAAAGTTAAAGCTGACACGGCTACTGGAAAGAATAAAGTTAAAATGGCAGAACAGTTAAGGGTGGCGATTTTATGGCGAGATGAGACAGATAACAGACGGGTGGGCATTCAGAACTGAAAAGACAGAGAAAGGGAGAAACAGAAAGATCAAGAGGGTGAAGCAGGGAAGAATGTGTACGTATTAAAAAAACTGCGATGATTTATCCCTGGGGCCACCCCCTCCGCCATATCGGGGAGCTGAAGGCCCAGCTCCGCGTGCTGGTGAGGCAGCAGGATCAGATGCTGAAGCTTCTCCTTCAGCCGCTCCCGCTGAGGGAGAACCCTCATTCACTGCTCCTCCAATGGAGCTAACTAAAACTGAAGATAACCAATTGTTAAATCTAAAACAAAGAAAGAGATTCCACCGTCTGCAATTGTAACACGTCAAAAAGATAAGGCCAAAAAGAAAAAATCCAAATCGCCTTCCAAACGAGAGGAGGAGTCTGACAGCTCTTCTGATGAAGAACCCACTGATGGGGCGTACCCTATGATCCAAGTCCCCACAAATGGCGGGTCCCAACAATACGTTTTCAGGCCCTGGCCCATTAAAGATGCAAAAGAGGTCACTGAGCAGATTACATCTCTCGCAGACGACCCAGACAAGTGGACATCAGACACGATGGATGTGATTCACTCATACCGTTTAAATGGCCAGGCAAGTCTTTCAAAAAATTGGCATAGGGTCCGAGGTCATTACACAGGGAGAGACACTACCGGAGCTGTGGCTCGGTATGAAATTGATCCCACAACTGGACAACTGGTTGGAGACCTAAAACTCCAGTTTGACATTCTGGCAGCAAATGTAAAACAAAATTTCAAGAAAAATCCTAAATTAACACAGTTAACAGCTACCAAAAAAAGGCCTGATGAATCTGTGAATGATTTCCGTGCCAGATATCAAACACAATTTAACATCCACAGCTCCCTCACCCCTGATTCGAATATAGATGGGCCTCAGTCAATGACGACTACAGACCGGTTGCCCTGACATCCCACATCATGAAGGTCCTGGAGAGACTCCTGTTGGTCCACCTGAATAAGCAAACTAGAACATATCAGGACCCGCTGCAGTTTGCTTATCGCCATGGAGTTGGAGTTGAAGATGCCATCATCCAGCTGCTTCAACCAATCCACTGTCATCTGGACAAAGCAGGCAGCACTGTCAGGGTCATGTTCTTTGATTTCTCCAGTGCATTTAACACAATTCAGCCTGATGTACTTTGCCAGAAACTCCAGAAGACACAGGTGGGGGCCTCAACTATTGCCTGGACTAAAGACTACCTGACAAACAGACCACAGTTTGTGAGGCTGAACAACTGCACATCAAACCAGGCAGTCAGTAACATTGGAGCACCACAGGGGACTGTACTCTCACCATTCCTTTTCACCCTGTACACCTTAGACTTCCAGTACAAATCAGAGACCTGTCATCTACAGAAATACTCAGATGACTCTGCAGTTGTCGGGTGTATCAGAGATGGACAGGAAGCTGAGTACAGAGAGCTGGTGGAGAGCTTTGTGGCATGGTGTGGAATCAATCATCTGACCTTGAACGTGAACAAAACAAAGGAGATGGTTTTAGACTTCAGAAGAAACAGGGTGGAGTCAAACTGTTTCCATCATGGGAGAAGAAGTGGAGGAGGTTGAGGAATGCAAATACCATGGAGTTCACCTGGACAACAGACTGGACTGGAGAAAGAACAGCCAAGCTGTTTACAAGAAGGGACACAGCAGACTGCACTTCTTGAGGATGCTAAGGTCCTTCAATGTCTGTAACAAGATGCTGCAGATCTTCTACAAGTCTGTTGTTGAGAGTGTAATCTCTTCAGCCATCGTCTGTTGGGGTAGCAGCATCAGAAGCAGGGACCTGAAAAGGCTCAACAGCCTAATAAAAAAGGCTGGTTCTGTTCTGGGGACAACTGTGGAACCACTGGAGGAGATAATGCAAAGAAGGATTCTCCAGAGAATCAAGAAAATTATGGACAACCCTGAGCATTCTCCTCACAAGACTGTCCGACAACAGAAGAGTGTCTTCAGTCAGAGGCTTCTTCAGTTTCGCTGCAACACTGACCGCTACTGGAGATCCTTCCTGCCAACAGCCATTGTAATATACAATAACTCTTTGATGACTTGATTATTATTATTATTATTCTGAGCTACTACAGCAATCAATTTCCCTCTGGGATTAATAAAGTATTTTTGAATTTGAATTTATATCAGACATTTATGCTCTGATTTGTTAAATGGCTTCCTGCCTGCAATTACTGCAAGAATTAGAACTCTACATTTCCTGGGAAACTTGCAGTGTAGAAGATTTGATGTTAAATGCTAGACATGCAGAAAAGGTCATTCAGGGAAAAAAATAATAAGCCAAAACCCCCCAAATCAGGCCCACAGGTCTTCTTTGAGGAAAACGAAACAGAGGAAGAAGCTGTTTATTATCAGCAGGGTACCAACAGGGGAAAATTTTACCCCCAGGGGCGTGGTCGAAGCAACACAGAATCGATCACAACAGCCCGTTTGCTGGATCTGTGATTGTCGGGGTCACATCTCACGCGATTGCCCCTCCGATTCAGGAGGCCCACATTTCAAAAGACACTATAGGGGTCCTGCAAGAGGCAGAGGCTCCCATTCACGGGAGAACCAACCTAACCATGAGCATATCAGTCACCAGCCTGATCACACCCGTTTCAGACAGGAGCGAAGGGATGATTTTCAGCAAAGACTAGCAGCTGGTTCTGATGCCTGGAAGGAGGAAAATGATGTGGTTGATTGTTGTTGGGAACTACTTAATGTCCTGAAAGTAAAACCCTTTATCCAACTTAATGCTGAAGGACAGAGTGTGGAGTTCCTGTGTGATTCTGGTGCATGTTGAACGGTTATTTCTTCCGGTGTGAAATTACCCAGGTCTCAGAACAGCATATTGGTTAAGTCTGCTGATGGAGCTACCACTCGCTCGTCACTGTCTACCCCAGTTCGGGTGGATGATCCGGTGACAGGATTGGAAAAAAGAATTCCTCTGGTCTTTGCACCAGACTGCCCTTTGAATCTTCTGGGCAGAGACCTCATGTCAGAGCTAAAAATCACTATTGTCCCAATAAAAGATGGCATGAGGGCTGTCCGTGTGGCTGATGATTGTTGCTATTTCCATGATCCCGCAGGTGACCCAACAGGAGTGTATTATTATTTACAAGTCCCCTTTGAAGCAAATCTAGTCGAAACAGAACTTGTTATGGGAACAGTGCGTCTCGTGTTAAATGACACAACCAAAGATGAAATGCCTTTGTCCCAGTTCCATGTAATCATGGCTCTCAGGCCAGCTCACGATTGATCATATCAGGTCTCTTTCCTTCCTATGTCACCTGTTGTGCTGACCACCTCTTATCTGATGACAAACGGAGAGTCAGACTCTGCAGCTTCTGTTACACTACCTAACTACATGAAGCATTTTCTCTGACCAAAAACAGCTCTTCACGCTGGAAAGATTTGGTCTATAAGATCTATGGCAGTACAGTGCCAGTACAGGCCTCTACTGGTTTCCTTTGCTTGTCCCACTTCATTGTGTGACTGCTGTTAACCTTTTGAAGTGACAAGCTGATTCTGTGTTGTTAACGGAGGAGGAGCAATTAAAACAGATCCCTAAAACACTTTGGTCCACCGGCCAGACTGATGTTGGCCTTTTGAACTCTATCTCTCCCGTGCATGTCAAACCAAAATCCCAGTTTAGGCCCAGAGTTAAACAGTACCCTTTGTCCCCTGAAGCAGAAGAAGGCATTGCTCCAGTGATTTCAGATCTCCTGGAAGATGGAGTTATCAGACATTGTCCTGATTCTCCATGTAACACACCCATCTGGCCTATAAAAAAGGCTGATGGAAAAACTTGGCGCATGATTCAAGACCTCAGAATGGTCAACACTGCTGTCCAAACACGTGCCCCCCATGTACCAGATCCACACACGCTGTTAAACTCTCCCAAGCCTTCCAGGAAGTACTTTTCTGTGATTGATCTGAGCAATGCGTTTTTCAGTGTTCCTGTTCACCCTGACTCACAGTTTTGGTTTGCTTTCACCTACAAAACTCAAAGTTCATGTTCACAGTTTACCGCAAGGATTCTCGGAAAGCTTGGTTCAGTACACGCTCCTGCAGCACAGAGAGGAGCTTGAAGAAGATGAAGGTGAATATGTTGCCTAATGAAGCTGATTTCATTATGATTTTAACAATGTAAACTGCAGTTTCTGTAACCATTGTTGATTGATGTCCTAGTAATCAGCTCAGTTCATTTTTGTATCTTTGACTTAATCAGTATAATCATTATCTCTTGATTTTTGGTGTAATCATAGAATAGTTGTTTTGACTTGATCAATGCGATAATCATACAATTTTCTTACAGGTTGAACATTGTTGCAGCTGCTTTAATTTTGTTACAGGTTGTTCCTTATTTTTTACAGCCTTTTATGAAGGTCGCTACTTCTTTTGTGGTCTTCTGTGTGTTAGAGGTTGATTCTTTGCAGCTGCGACCATTACCCGCAATCGTAGTCTGGTTATTGTTTATGTTGTTTTACATTGTTTGCCAGTTAATTAGGATGACCTTCGTTTGAACAGGGGGGAATTATTGGATAAATACAGTATTAGATGCATGGAAAATGATTTTGTCTAGGTACCATCTGGTGTTTTCAAACGAAGATTCAGTCCTTGTTCATATTTTGCTATTTTTCTTTGGCTCCGGCAGGGAAGTTCAACCTTGTAAGTCTGAAGTTCTGTCATGACAATAACCTCCCTAGTTACATCCAGACGGAGCATTTCTCTGTTATACCAAGAACCTGGGAAAGTTTGTTTTCTGTGAAGGGAGTGGGTGTTTACCTTTTATGTGTGTGTGCTATGTTACTTTTGAATAAAACCTTTTTGAGAGCTTCTGCTTGAAGAGAGACCAAACAGATATCCCATTGGTGTGTATCTTCATTTCTCTCCGATTTTGCAAATTCTGGTTGTTGATTATTGGTGTTTATTGGTAAATGGTATTGATAACCTAAAACCTAATATCTCTAACCCCCTTGTGTGTGTTGGACTTTCTTTGAGGTACGCTTGGATTGATTAAATAAAAATACCCAACAGTTTCAGTCTTTGTTTTCATGCCTGCTCACATGTCAGTCAGACCTTCAGTCACACACACCCTTGCATTCATATTGCAGTTCTGTGTGCAGACGTCCAATTTTACTTCCTCACCAATTTATGGATTTTGTCATTCTGTCTTGTCCTGCTGGAATAGAATTATCTCTGTTTTCTCCACATGGAAACATCTTCACCCTCAACTCGCCCCAGCACGGATCTGCCTCTGTGTTTCTCAACCTTGTCTGCCTTCTGGCCACATCTTCACCTGTTGGACATTTGATGAGTGGTGCAAAGAAATCATGTTGGAAATTCCCTGAGATGATTTTCAAGTTGGGCTGCACAGTGGCACAGTGGTTAAAGCTGTTGTCTTGCAGCAAGAAGGTCCTGGGTTTGCACCCTGGCCTGGGGTCTTTCTGCATGGAGTTTGCATGTTCTTCCTGTGCATGCGTGGGTTCTCTCCGGGTACTCCAACTTCCTCCCACAGTCCAAAAACATGACTGTATGGTTAATTGGTCTGTCTAAATTATCCTTAGATGTGTGTGCATGTCATCTGCTGTGAGGTTGGTTTTTTTGTGTAAAGTTTAGTCCTGTCTGATTCTGTTAACTACTATGTCTATGTTTTTTTTTGGGTGGGTGTTTTTGTGAACAGGGATATGACGTCATGTGAGATGAGTATGTTGTTATTTTCTATTGTAATCTTTTTTAGTTCTTTTGCCAATTCTATACTATTTTTGCAGTGTTGATCTGTGTTACCTAATAACGGACTGATGATTTTGCTGATATCTCTTTCATGTTGTATGTTGGTGTACCTATGCTATCTACTGTTGGTCTAAGTGGGGTGTTTTGTTTGTGTATTTTTGGAGTTCCGTAGATTCTTGGTGTTATGTTTGCCGTAGGAATCCATTCTTTGTACATTTTTTCTGTTATTTTGCCTTTTTCTTGTAGTGTGTTACGTGCCGTGCCCCTTTTCGGCCACAAGATGGCCTCAGTGGCCTTTGCCTCGCCTGTCTCCCGGTCCCCAGCTGTTGTCAATGTCAAATACAGAAATCACTTGGCAGCTGTTAAAAGCTGCTTCCAGCCACCAGTTCAGGGAGAAGGTCCAAGGGTAGAGTAGACTGGCAACAGTTTATTCTATTCTCTTCTCCTCGCTCGCTCTTTTGGTAAAACTCGGAATAGTTAGTCTTCGGTGCTCTCAGTTTTTGGATTACAGATTTGGATTAAGGATTTTGACCATTTGGCTTATAGACTTCGGAACGGTTTTGACCTCGATTTAGGATCTCCCCTTTTGTATCATATATATTCATTGCTCTCGGTTTTATTCCCACCCCCTTCTGGGGTGGTGCTTTTCGTTACCTCCCTTTTAAATATAGCTCCTTTTGTTTTGTGTACATAGTATTGGTTTTAGGTTCTTTGTAAATATTCCATTCCGTTCATTTTGTAATAAAAGTCTTGTTTGAAGCGACACAGCACCCTGATTACTATTTCACCCACACACTACTTTTATCACTCCCCTCCTCATCTCTCCTAGAGAGCTGGGGACGTAATATAGTGGCTTCAGTCATGTTTCATGTTTTTCTTAATGTTTTCTGTTGGGTCTTATTTTTAAAGTATTTTGTATGTATTTTTGTCCTCTAGCATCTGTTTCATCTGTTGTTTATATTTTTCTTTGTCCATTACTTCTGTGGTTCTTCCTTTGTCTGCCGGTAGAAAATTATCTGTTCATTTTTGGATAAAGCTGTCATGGCTGATTGTTCTTCTTTTGTAATATTGCTGTGTTGAATTTGGCTGTTCCCAACTACATTATTTCTGAGTTCTGCTTTCTTTCCCTCATCTGTGATCTGTTGACATGCTAGTTCTGTTGCTGCAAAAAATTAATCATATGGTATTTTCTTTGGTGTTACTGCAAAGTTTAAACCTTTTTTAATATGCTCTCTTCTGCTTCTGTTAGTTTGTATTGTGAGAGGTTACATACCCATGAGCTTTGTGTGGTGTTATCTTTTATTTCTTTTCTCTTTTTCTTGTTGATGAGTTTAACTTCTTTATGTGTCTTTCTTTTACTTTTGTGAACTCTTTTTCCTGTTGTTCCATCATGTGTTCTTCAATTAGTTCCTCCGTTTTTTCATAGAGTTTGTAATTCCTTTTTAACTGTGTCTTCTTTCCAGTTCGATAGGGTTTACACATTGGATCGCGCATGGGACTGCATCATCGGAGAGGGGAGAGCGGCCCGCGGATAAACGGAGTAGGAAGTGCTACCATCAGCGTCAGCTCTGAGGAAGTTTGCAGCCGCAAACGAAACTGTCAGCAAGGTAAAGAGAAACCTTTTCTGTGTTTTAAAAAAGAACCAAAAATGGAATTAGAAGCAAGGACGTACCAAAGATGTTCTGTGTTTGGCTGAGTTATTGAGTTCCCTTTTTTCTGACCAGGAGACCAACGGACACATGCACACATGGGCAAAAACTGTTTTTCTCTTTCAGGGAAAGTTGATAAATATACTTCTAATCCAAAGCCCCTGCCTCTGGAATGATCACAGCATGGATCATTACTATTTTTGTCATAAACCGTGATGACTAACCACACTACAGTCATGTTATTAGAGACCTGAATGATGTCCTGAGTTTAGAAAAGCTCAGGGAGGGAAAACTTCATGAGCAGTACATCAGAGCTGTCTCGTTGATAAATCACAAGAACTGCAGTAGGAATCCACAATGTCGACCTCTAGTCAAACATCCAACTGTGCTGCTGTGAAAAGCAGAGAAAGTCAGAGCAGGCACAAAGAGTAACACACATCTAAGGTCTGTACTTGTACAGTAATGAGTTATGTGACACAACACAAATGCATAACCCTCCCAGGTACTTCAACATGGATTTACAGTAATTTATTTAGCAGGTACCTATTTTCATGCTCCTCAGCTTTATAGGGTTTGACGACCATCTATTTACATTTTTCTAAGAGGGTCCAGGTTTACCCAACAGAAGGCCACATTCGAAACACTCTACTGCCACTTCAGCTGGAGTGACACCTTGTTCCCACTTAAGTCATCAGCAAGCAATCATAAGTCCCCACCTTAGAGTGGGACCTTATCCAGAGCTATGAGATGATGGAGCTGGAGTTACTGCTTTGAATAAAAATGATTTAGTGTGCAGCAATTTAAAACCAATGACCTGCTTTCAGCATAAAGATGACCTATTTATTCTTATATTTCTGCTGCTTCAGTCATTCCAGTTCACTTATTTATAGGAGAGAGACGTTTTACAGAAAGTCCCCTCTCAGAATAAACCACCACCTAAAATATATTCATGTCAAGATGGAATATTTTATATTTAAAGCTTTACTTCTTTTATTCTAATGGAGTTCAGATAGACTGGGAAAACTTGAATGAATTTTAATGGCTCTGAGGTTCAGTACAAGATTTAATGAAGGATATTATTGCTCTGTGTGTGCACAAAGCGATACAAGTGGAATTCATAATTTTATCCTTCTCAGCAGCAGCACTGCAGGTGCTCTCCATGTCCAAAATGTGCATAAGCCAGGATCTTAGTCAGCTTAAACTTGCGCACATTTTGCCGCAACGTTTTTTAAAAAAAAAAAAATCCCAAACTTTGCATGGAAAGTTTCTTGCGCAGTTTTCTGACCACGTTTTGTGCGTAAGCAAGCTTTATAAATGAGACCCCAGAAGCAGGATCTTGAAATGAACCCTGAAGTTAACTGGCAGCCAGTGAAGCTGGAGGAGAAGCAAGGTGATAAGGGGTGTTTGGAGGACTTGGTCAGAGGTCCGAAGCCAAGCGCAGGCATTCTGAACCATCTGTAGACGGTTCAGGGAGCGGGCCTGGATGTAGGCATGGGCAAGGAGGGGCAATGCCCCCCCTAAAAATAATGACTTCCCACCCAAATGTGATGACATTTAGAAATCTCAAATTTGAAAAGATCTGATGAAAAAGGATCAGACTGCCCCCCCCCCCCTCTCTCTCCCTCACTCAAAGTAGCTGCTGATTGGTAGATGCATAGGGAAGGTGTGGCCAGCCACTGCACTTCATTCTCTGTGTCTCACTCGCTTCACGCTCCCAGACAATCAGCAGCAGAATACAGAGATGCACAGTCGTTATCTGAGCTCAGCCACTGGTGGAAGTTTTTTTCTTCTGTCGGTCACTGGAGTTATTTGGTACTCTTTCTCAAGGTTTTAGTTTGCCTCGTTCTCTTCTTTACATTGTTTTTGAAGTGAACCGAGTCGACAATGTGCAGGTTTCTGGTTTTTGAACCTAGCTACAGTGCTGAGGCACTAGCGGCAGAAGCTGGCTCGTCGGCTGCTGCTTCTCAACTCACCACAACCAGTTGCACAAGCACCACAGCCCCTCCCGTTGTCCCCGTTGCTACCAACCCAGCCGTCGCTGTGGGTGACACAGGCCTGAACAGTAGCGCACCGTCCCAACCCACCGCTCTTGTTTTCCCCAGGCGCCATTTTGAGAAGAACGTGCTCATTTTGCCCTGCTTGGTATCGTGGGAGACCATGGCTGGAATATTCAGTAAAGCTGGATGCGTGCTTTTGTTTCCCATGTCGCAAATTTGGAGGGAACAATGATAGGGATTTGGCTTTCACAAAACAAGGATTTAATAATTGGAAAACAGCACTGGAAAAGGACAAGGGAATCACAAAACATGCATCAAGTCAATGCCACATAAAAAATGAAAATGCCTGGTCTGAAATGTCCCAAAGAGTGGCCACAGGGGAAACAATGGGTAATTTAATAAATCCCACACAAATCGGAAAAAAAAACCAGATACTACATAAAAACTATTGGAGAAGTAGTTCAGTTCCTAGCAGTAAATGAACGGAAAGCTCCAGTGGTGATGATTTCTCTGTAGGACTGTTCTTAAAAATGTTTGACTACACACTGGCCAAAGTCTCCAAATGAAATAAACAAACACATCCCAGAAAATGCAAAATGCACCTCTCACAACAAACAAAATGAAATTATTCAAACACTGACAAAAATGGTAATAAAAAAGATCAAAGATAATTATGACTAAGCAGTTTATGCTGGGTTTTGCATTAAAAGTGATCGAACTAGGGACAGATGTGGAGAATCAGTCAGTCATGGTTAGATTTGACTGTAATGGCATTCCAGAGGAACACCTGATCGGTCTGCTTGACCTCAGTCAGTTAAATGCTGAATTTATTACCACCCAAAATCTTGAGCATCTCTCTGACTCAGGCTATAGTGCAGCTGAAATGATCAGTCAGTGCTATGATGGAGCTTCTGTCATGAGTGGGGTCAGGGGTGGGGTTCAGGCCTTACTGCAAAAGAAGGTAGGGAAGGATATTCCCTACATCCACTGCTACAACCACCAGCTGCACTTGGCAGTGGTCCATGCAATGCAGGCAGAGCCATGTGCAAAAACCTTTTTTGATCTTTCCGGATCTCTACACTCATTTTTCCACCGTCATTATGTTTCACAGAACTATGACGTTCCCTCCCTGAAACGACTGTTGGAGATCAGCTGGACAAGCCACCATGATGTGACCAAGTGCCATGTGGAAAAACAGGATGCTATTATGAGTATCCTGTCAGAGGTTACAGAAGACAGAGCTGCTGCTGTTGATATCTTTACAGAGGCATCAGGACTGTTGATGATGTTAAATAGGCATCACTTCTTTGAAATAGGAAAATTCCTCCTAAATGTCCTGGGTTCCATGAAGTAGGGCTGTTCGATTATGGCAAAAATAATAATCACGATTATGGTGACTAAAATTGAGATCTCAATTATTTAGGACGATTTTTCAATTTATGTTGATTTTATTTGCTTTTATTCAGTCATAAAATTGCCCAGGGCACAGTCAGGACCAAAATAAAAAAGAAACAAGATGATCACTAAAAGAACTCCTGATTCCCAGCATAAAAAGACCAATTTACTTATAGCTCACAGTTTATGACCCAAAGGCTATAGACCTTGGTTTAAATCATTTAAGTCTAACCAATACAGACCCAAATACCAATATCTTGCAAATACTGACAGCAAGAATTATACAGTGGCATTTATAACAAATAAATGCAAATAAATTGATTTTCACAAAATGTTGCATAGCATTTATTGAGTCGTGTCAAGGTGCTGTAGGCGAGTGCACTAGCACCGTGTCCTCAGAGAGATTAGTTATTAGTTATCAGTGTGAGGAACTTATTTCTACTTTATTTTTAAACTATGTATTTACAAGTCCATCAGTTAATGTAATAATTGTCCCAACCACAGCTGCACCCCCACCCCCAACCCGGTCTCAGCAATCGGGGCAAGCTGCACGTGTGTTTAGCGCGCCGCACGCGCACATTTAGCCGTTTTTAGTGGCTCAGGAGTCCGCAGGTGCGGTGTGTGTGTCACTCACTCTGGTTACTCCAACAGGGAGCCGGCTCCGAGAGCTGTTTCTAAAGCGACTGACACATCACTACATCATTCCCTTTCTTAATGTCCTGAAGAACGGTCCGGAGCGCAGGCGGAGTGTTTAGCTAACCTGCAGGAAATGTCGACGACAGTTATCCAGAAAGTAGCTAAGGGTTACCAGAGATGTTTCTGAGGTGTTCTCTAGGTACTTTTAAGATTTAAAAAGTCAAGAAGGGGGTCTGAAAAGCTGTTGGAAATAGCGTCAAAGTCGCCAAGTTGGCAACACTGTGGGAGGAGCGCTTCATTTGCAACTCGGGGCAGCGCAAGTGGGAGGAGCAAATAATCGGCTTGTTTTGTTTTTATAATCGTTCAAAACTCAAATCGTAATCGTGATTAAAATTCGATTAATTGAGCAGCCCTACCATGAAGTCTGCAAATTCTATGCTGCAGTCTCATTCTGTTGACCTGTGCTGTGCTTCAGAAGTAGTCAGATCATCTCTGCAGGCTTTGAAGCAGATGAGAGATGAGGAAAGTGAGACATTAACCAGCACACCTGCACCAGCTGCTAAAAGACAAAGAAAAACAAGCTCACTGCTAACAGGTAGTGTTGTAATGTCCACTGTGGGCCACGCAGAAGACTCCACAACTCCTAGCCAGGCTCTGAAGAGAGCTCTTCTCAACATTTTGGACATAGTCATTACAGAGATGGAGACAAAATTCTCCAAAAGCAATCTTGATCTCATGAAAGCAGTTAACTGCCTTCAACCTCAGTCTCCCTCTTTTTTGGATCCTGACATGTTAAGTCCTTTGCAGAAAATGACAGGAAGTGACAGTGACAAACTTTCCAATGAAATTCTTGTTGCAAAAATGATGTTGGAGAAAGAATTCAAAAAGACTGATGATGATAACAGTGTAGAGTAAGTAGACCTCTCTACCGTTTGCAAATATCTACATGGGTATGAGAATGCCTTTCCTCAACTCCATTGCATGTATGTGACCTCCCTTGTGATTGGAATATCAGCAGCATCATGCGAGAGCTCTTTCTTCACTTTGTCTTGTGTTCTTACCCCATTCCGCCGTACTACGCTACACGAGAGAAAAATAAATTTAGTCATTCTGGCTCACAAGAAGGCCATAACAGGCCTAGATATGGATTCATTTGTTAGGACTTTTGCACAGAAAAGCAGACGGCTGATGCTGTAATGACTGATGGAAGCCATATAGAAATGAAAACAACAAAAATTAAAAAAAAAATTAAAAAAATTATATATATATAAGGATAGACAGCCAAAATAGATTAAAGACATAAAAAAGATAAAATAAAAAAAATTAACAGATAGATAGATAGATAGATAGATGGATAGATGGATAGATAGATAGATAGATAGATAGATAGATAGATAGATAGATAGATAGATAGATAGATAGATAGATGGATAGATAGATAGATAGATAGATAGATAGAAAAAAGATAGATAGATAGAAAAAAGATTAATGCAGTCCCAATAGGGAACAAGCCAGTGTCCCATTTGTGCCGGTCCCAAGCCCGGGTAAAGGGGTAGTGTAAGGAATGGATCAAAGGAAAAGATAGATCTATGGATAGAAGAACTGTAATGATCATAGCATAGTTTTCTATGCATTTTAGGGATTTGGAGGTATGTGACACCCAAAAAATTATTTCCCAGACTTGCCCCCCCCCCCCCCCCCCCACCCCCCCCACCCCACCCCCCGATATTCTACCTGCACCCCTTTGTAGGGCTGGCTAAATCCGGCCCTGTCAGGGGGGTTGTACTCAGACAAGTGAAAAGAGAGTTGCAGTAGCATAAGTGTGAGGAGATGAAGGTGTGGATAACAGTCTCAAGTTCTGAGCGGGAAAGAATGGGACTCAGCTTAACAATGTACCTGAGATGGAAGAAGGAAGATTGAACAAAAGAACTGACATGAGAATCCAGGGCGAGAGCTGGGTTGAAGGTCACACCAAGAAGGTCACACCAAGAAAGTTTTCACAGTTGAGTGGATCGAGGCTGTAGGAGAGGCAGGAGAGACGGTACTGCTGATGGTGTTAAACAGCACCTTAGGATTCCCTTTGCTCTGGGACACCAGGTTGGAAAAATAGGCAACCCTTGCATCTCTGAATGCGGAGTTAAAGGAAGTCAGAAGATTCTTAAGATGCAGCAGACGAATTTGGAGATGGGTTCTGCATCGGCGCTTCAGGCTGTGAATGCTGTCATTAAACCAGGGAGTAGGGTTCACTGCAGGAACTGATCTGGTTCTGACAGGCCAGATGTAGAGGCAGTGCAAGCTAAAGTCAGTAGTTAAGGAATGTGGGTCATTAATGGAAGAACAGGGTGGATTTAAAGCAGCAGAAATTTGCTAGCTTTGCTCTCATTAAGAAAAGGAGAACTAACTGTAAGATGTCATGTAGCGCCCTTGTTTCCCCCTCTCCTCAGATGTAGAGTGGTACGACCCAATGGGGGAAGTGGTTAGATTCACTGTGTTGGCGCCCGTTCGAAAAATACAGTTGTTGGTTCAACAAGCTCCATTTCTCTTTCTTTACATAACACAAACATGGTGTCAGAAGTGGCTTTGTGGTAAAGCTAAGAGGAAATACGAAAGGAGCACGATGGCGAACACGTTGCCACCACCGGGGGAGATGAAAATGACCGGCGACCTAGCGAACAATTGGGACGACTTCAGGTCGGAGTTTGAGGATTACGTGCTGGCAACGGGGCTGAACGACAGAGACAAGGAAGTACAAGCGGCGACCCTGCGGCGGGTAATGGGAAATGAGTGCCGACACATGTACAAACACAACTTGGGCCTTTCGGCGGAGCAGGCGAAGGACCCCACAATCATCCTCGATGCTCTGTATTATTTTCTGTAATGATTTATGACAAAAGTTCTTAACAAAATAAAAAACTGAACCCAGTTCATATTCATATAGATGGTAAAGTGTACCAGTAGTTATACTGAATTTCTACAAATCTAATGCAGAGTCTGGCCAATGCCAATAGCTGCAGTTATTGTGTTGTTTAAGATGTTTCAAAAAGTGTTACATCATATTTTTATTTATTCGAGTATTTTTAAAAATTATTTACTATTTTTAAGATTTTTTGGGTGCTCTTTTAAACCAAATATTTTGCTAGAATTTTGTGTCCATCCATCCATTTCGTCCGCTTATCCAGAGTCGGGTCGCGGGTGCAACAGAAAAGCCCAGACTTCCCTCTGCTCAGCCACTTGGGTCAGCTCCCCTGGGGTAATCTAAGGCATTCCCTAGCCAGCAGAGAAACATAGTCCCTCCAGTGTGTTCTGGGTTTTCCATCAGGACTCTTGCCGGTTAGATGTGCTTGAAAAACTTCACCAGGAAGGAGTCCAGGAGGCATTCTAACCAGGTACCCAAGCCACCTCAATGGCTCGTCTTGATGCAGATGAGCAGCAGAGCTACTCCAAGTCCCTTCCGCATGACCAATCTTCTATCTCTGAGGGAGAGTCCAGACACCCTTCGGACAAAACTCATTTCAGCCGCTTTTATCCGCGATCTCAATCTTTCGGTCACCATCCAAAGCTTGTGACCATAGGTGAGGGTTGGAATGTAGATAGACAGTTTTTTGTGTACAATAAATATAAAATGTAAAATGTTTCCCAAAATAGTTTTTTTATTTTTATTTTATTTTTTTTCAGACAAAGCTCAATCAGTTTCCTAACTTCAAACATCATCTTTATGAAATGATCATGAATGTTTGGGGATATTAATTAAATCCAGTTATTTTTAAAATTAATTGCTGACCATTATCAAAATAAGTGAGAACTAAAGAGTAGCCAGTAAAGTTTACATTTGCCTCGTTTCATTAAGTATTTCCTATAATTACCACGCATTATCTTCAGTTCTACTAATGCAGAGCGACACTTGGATCCATATTCTTCATTTTCTTGTTGAGACTCATGTCAAACAAAGCCAACACATACAGGAACTTTGGGATTATTCATCCATTTTTATCAACATTTCATTCACTTCCCCTGTTTTCCCCTGAATGATTTCTGGCTTTGGAAATATTCCACTAAACAGTTGAGTCTCCACCGGGGCTTAAAATGGGATTATAGCTCAAATTACAGACTCTGTGGCTCATTTACTCTCTTGAGTCCGTGGTCTTCAAAACAAAACTTGCATGTGGACATGTCCAGTGATATGATAATAGCATGAAATGAGAAACACATTTCAAGAGAGAAAACTCTTGCTGGCGCCGTGGAGATGCTTTTATGTGTGACGTCTGATGTTAGGAAACACGGAGGACGTGAAAGACCAAAGCGCAGACAAAAGGAGAGATTCTCTGTGCATATCTCTGAACAATTGGAGGGAGAAACAGAACAGGAAATAATGATCTCAGAGAGAAAGTAGGAAATTACCATCATTACACCAGACTATTAGCATTTTCATGGAAATGGACTGGGAATAGAATAATAAAACAAATGTCAAAGGAGAAGAATTTGAGTTATTGGGTATTTAATAATGATGATTATACTTGTGTTGTTGATTTATTTGCTCTGTATAAACAGTCATTCATGGTGTTATTTGCTCTGCAAAGAATTGCCTTTGATCATTTACGTCGTCAGGAAATTGTTCCATATTTATGGTATAAATGAGTGTAAACATTTGAGTTTCAAAACTCTGGAGCTTGATTAGACAATGATGTTCAAAAGCAGGCCAATATAAGTTTGCTGTTTACTGATCAACACCGCTGTGTTCTCACAACTGTCTGAAACATGACAAATAAAATAAAACACACGTCACAAAACTAGGCTTGTTTATATGTGGCAACATTGCGGTCCGCCGTCAAAGTCGATGTTACAGAGAGCAACACCCCTCTGGCTGCCTCAGTATGACCGTGACACACAATAGACTTTACTATTGTCTTTGTCACACAAACTTACAATTGAAAATAAAACATGCATTCATTGATTGTTGTATTGTAATAATATTTTTTCTTTTAGTTGGCAGGTGAATCTGTAAAATAAATAGAGCAATTTTAATTAATGTTACACAGTTGCTGAGAAATTAAATAGCACTTATTTATCCAGCAAACATTTTTATTTTGGGTGTGTACTCACCACTTCTTGATCCCCTCTCCCATTAGACGTGCACAAGCAAAACAGGGGTTTACGCACACTTGTAGGTTCCAGTGAGAAAAACCAAGTGGGAAGCTGTGAAAAGGGAAGATTCATGGTCCTATTTTTAGCATTTTTTATTTAGGGCATTGATATTGATATTAGATTATCCGCTGATTCTTCGTAGATAATGTACATATTTTAAGCAATCATTCATCCATCAATCTTCCTCAGCTTATCCGGAGTAAGGTTGCAGCCTAATCAGAGAGGCCCAAACTTCCCTCTCCCCAGCCACTTAGGCCAGCTCCTCCGGGGGGATCCCAAGGCGTTCCCTGGCCAGCCAAGAAACATCGGCCCTCCAGGATGTCCTCTAATTTCTTTTAGATCTCCTGGTTGGACATGCCCAGAAAACCTCACTAGGGAGGCATCCTAACTATGACTGAGCCACTTCAACTTGCCCCTCTCGATGTGGAGGAACAGCAGATCCACTCCTAGCCTTTCTCAGATGACTGAGCTTTTCTTCCTATCTCTAAGGGAGAGTCCAGCCACCCTGCGTAAAAAAAAAACAAAACTCATTTGGCCGATTGTATCTGTGATCTCATTCTTTCGGTCACTACCCAAAGGTTGTGACCAGTTGAGGGTATAGGTGAGGGTATAAAGAAACTAGATTGACTGGTAAATCGAGAGCTTTGCCTTCCGGCTCAGCTCTCTCTTCATCACGACAGACCAGCAAAATGTCCACATCACTGCAGACACCAATCCGCTTATTGATTTTGCACTCCAGCTTTCCCTCACTTATGAACAAGAACCAGAGATACTTAAACTCATCCACTTGAAGCATGACATCGTCCCTGACCTGGAGAATGCATTCTAAGTTTTTCCAATTCGAGACCATGGTCTCGAATTTAGAGGAGTTGATGCTCATCCCAGCTGCTTCAAACTCGGCTGTGGACCACTCCAACAAAAGCTGGGGATAACTGTCTGTTGAAGCCAACAGGAACACTTCATCTGCAAAAAGTAG